TCTACTAAATGTATTTCAGAGCATAGAAAAGGATGGAATACTCCCAAACTCATTCGATGAAGCCAGCATAACCCTAACACCAAAACCAGGTAAAGACACCACAAAAAAAGAAATTACAGACCAATATCCCTCATGAACATTGACCCAAAAATCCTCAACAAAATTCTAACCAAGAGAATTCAGCAACATATCAAAAAAATAATTCACCATGATCAAGTGGGATTTATACCAGGTGTGCAGGGATGGTTGAACATTAGAAAATCAGTCAATATAATCCATCACATAAATAAAACAAAATACAAAACCCGCATGATCTTATCAATCAATGCAGAAAAGGCATTTGACAAAGTCCGACACACATTCATGATAAAAACTCTCAACAAAATAGGAGAAGAAGGGAAATTCCTCAATATAATTAAGGACATTTATAAAAAGGCAACAGCCAACATCATCCTAAATGGAGAGACTTTCAAAGCATTCCCCTTGAGAACAGGAAGCAGACAAGGATGCCCTCTATCACCACTCTTATTTAATATTGTGCTGGAGATCCTAGCCAGAGCACTTAAGCTAGAAATGGAAATAAAGGGCATCCAGATTGGTAGGGAAGAAGTCGAAGTATCTCTATTTGCAGATGATATGATCTTATCACAGAAAACCCCAAAGAATCTACAAGAAAACTACTGGAACTAATTTTTCAGCAAAGATTCAGGATACAAGATAAACATACCAAAATCAGTTGGATTTCTTTACACCAACAAAGAGAACCTCAAAGAGGAAATCACCAAATCAATACCATTTACAATAGACCCCAAGAAGATAAAATACTTAGGAATAACTCTAACCAGAGACATGAAGACCTATACAATGAAGACTACAAGACACTACTGCAAGAAACCGAAAGAGACCTGTATAAGTGGAAAAACATACCTTGCTCATGGATAGGTAGATTCAACACTGTGAAAATGTCAGTTCTACCCAAAGCTATCTACAGGTAAAATGCAATCCCGATCCAAATTCCACTGGCATTTTTTAATGAAATGGAGAAACAAATCACCAACTTCCTACGGAAATGGAAGAGGCCCCGAATAAGTAAAGCATTACTCATGAAGAAGAACAAAGTGGGAGGCCTCACACTACCTGATTTTAGAACCTATTATACCTCCTTGGTAGTCAAAACAGCCTGATACTGCCACAACAACAGACACATAGACCAGTGGAACAGAATTGAGAATCCAGACATAAATTCATCCACCTATGAACAGCTGATATTTGACAAAGGCCCAAAGTCCGTTAACTGGGGAAAAGAGAGTCTCTTTAACAAATGGTGCTGGCATAACTGGATATCCATCTGCAAAAAA